CGAACAGGCAACCGAAAGATACAGCTTAGCCGGCCGAGCCAGTGTCTGGTTATGGAGGTTGTATAACCGGATTTTAAGCAAACTCTCGTTGGAGTGGAACGTGGGACTGACTGCCTTGTGACGGAAAAGTAGAGGTTTAAAACCAGAGATGCCTATAATGGTCAACTCCTATTAGGGGTTTATTTCCTATTGAATATTGCTATTAACAAATTAATAGGATTATAGTCAGGAAGAATAAAGTACTTCTTGATTGAATTCTTACCTACATCGGAAAAAATCAACCTGATCATGATAATAATAATAATAATAATAATATGCCGTAGATATGGATGACCGTTTCCGACCATCACATAAAATGCCGAATGTTCCTCTTTGAGGTCATCGAGCGCCATGAGTTGTGAATAGATCTGCCAAAGTTCCACTGGGAAGACTTCGTTTAACGCTTGAACCAGACTGTTCGCTTCGCGATCTGCGCGATGAACTTGTGCCCGCATCCAATTGTCTGTGTTTGCTCGCCGTGCGGTACCCACGTTGACTGGGATTTGAACGCGCTGAATTCGGTCTCGAGATTCGGTGATGTTGCTCTTCCTTATGCCCTGTTGTTTCATCGTCAACATCATCCTCGTCTGGATCGCTGTCCGCTTCCTCGTCCTGGACTTCCCCCTCTTCAGACGTGTTTTCTGAAACACAATGAACCGGTTTTTCTCGCTCATCTTCTGATTCTGTATCCGGGGTTCGGTGCTTGGCACTCGTGGTCGGCGATTTCATGAACCGCTGGTTGCCCCTGACCGATGAGGATGTAGGACGAGCGGGAGAACCATGTGGTTGGGATCGCACTGAGTTGATGCGTTTTGATGAATCAGAAGCCATTCTTCGGGGATCTTGTTTCAAAAATTGGACAAAATCCACTCCAGATCCCGGATGGGATTCGTTCGATCCAGTTCGGTCGGTTTTCGAACCCGGTTTGTCCCCGTGAATGAAATAATCTACCAACCGTTCATCCCAGTTTTGGACATGATCTAGCATTTTGTCAATATATGGTTGTCTGTAGCGCCTGGAAATAACGGACCGTTGGAAATCCAGCTGTCGAAAAGTGTCTGTGAAAACAAAAAAGAGCAATTCATAATAATCCTGAATGAAAAAAACAAAACAAATCGGCATGAGTGACTCCATAGCTTTTCAACATCAAGTGAGTCTACTGTAATTTTAAGTGAATCCGACCAATCACATTCTTCTGTGATCCCACAAAATGATTGGTGCGGCAACTGTCCTTATAGCTCAACGAGTGACAAGAATAACTCAGTTATCGACAATGCTATGACGGATGATAACTTTGCACCGGTCGCTCATGTCTTTTTTTACTTCCTCTTTCATTTATTGAACATACAGTCAACATTCAGGAAGAGGGTCGCAGCCATACAAAGGCCGCCTGGGAAAAAGGGCGGCGGTGGAACGGTTTGAACTCGGGACTCACAGGTGACAAGTTGGTAACCTAACCGCTTGACCACCACCGCCCAAGATAATGAGCTGAAATAGGTACAGTATTCAATCCCACCGTTATCTTAATTCACCTGCGCGAGGAAGCATGGCCTAATTGGAGGAATTCACGAACGATCCTGAAAATATGCTATAAAGTTGCATTCGCGATGCCCCTAAACCTTTCTTCCTAAACGCCACTCAGAGATGAGCCCCGCGGGCCTCAGTTACGTCAAATATATGGTTTAAATGAGCTAACGCCTCCGAGAAATATCATCTTCATTATCATCGTACAGCGAGATACAGTGAAGTAAACTTCATTGACCGCTGCCAAACTCGCAATGCATTCAATATTAGTAGTAATGTGTAGGGTGGACAAGGATTGGTGTAAGGTTTAAAGGCAATATACATGCGACGGAAATGTTTGTGATAACCGACATAGAGCACTGGACAGCTGTTTTGTCCTGTTTTTGGGACTCGTCAGCAGTGCGTACTTTTGGCGTCTCTGTCAGGACTCGAACCGCCATTCTTCGGGTTGGGAATTCAAACCCTTACCCGTGAGCTACACGGTCGACGGTCATCATCACCTTGTGCGAATGGCTCAATGAATTTTAGAGTAGCGAGCTTGGATTAGCCCATTCGATCGTTATGAGGCATGAACTTGTGGGGAATTACGATCTCCCAAAGAGTGATACTCACACCCAAGACCATCAAGAGACCCTGGTGACTCTCAACAATCGAACGGACTAATGCAAGTTTGCTACTCTAAAAAAGTAAGGTCAAAATGTTTATCTTATCCGGAGGAACAAAGTTAGAGAAAACTTCGGTAGTGACTGCGCCTACATGGCGTCATCACCCTCTGTAACTCTTTCAAAAATAAAACCGGAAAATTGAAACAACGTTCCGAAACCAGTGCGGTGTTCGTAGCGTCTTTGTGTTGCCAGTTCTATTGATAAAAATCAAATCGCTCACCTTGATGCAACTCCAACGCGCGCTTGGCGGCCTCCATTTGAGCTTGTTGCACCGAACGACCTTTACCCGTGGCTAGACGTTGACCGCGAAAGTACACACCAACCAGATAGGTACGCTGATTTGTGGGGCCACTGTGATCCAACACCTGCCGGCGGTTTGACAAGCCCGGGTGAGTAAAAACAAACGGGAACGAAAATGCTTTGATCAGTCAGATTTGCATGGACAAACAGTTTGGTTCAATTCTATCGCGTTCAGCGTTGTTTTGCCCATGTTTCGGAGGCGGGGGGCAAACAACGAACCGAACTAAAAAATTGCAATTACCATGACAACAGATCTGACAGTAATATTACGGAATTTCAAATCGCCCCATTTTCACAGAGTTTGTGTACTGTGAAATGAGAAACGAACGGTCTCTTAACTGTATGTCAATTGTATGAACGCGAAGATTGGCGCCGAGCATAACTTAACTCTCAATCCCCCTAAATGTGTAGACATGTTCTCACTTCACAGAGGGAATCGTTATGCCAATCTCCTGGACTCTTGTTCTACATTCAACATGTGCGATGATACTATTGCCCAATCCCCAAATATTAAGTGTTTTGGTGTGTTAATAAACCAAAACGTATGCTGGTCTGACCAAGTTGCTTCTGTATTTGGTCAAGAAACTATCATTTTATGTCTTATGTCTGAAAGCGCTATCCGTCCCTCGCTGTTTAATCAAACGTTTTCTGTTTGCATGTATTTTGTCCCTATGGTTGTACGGATCCCCCGTAATCTTTCCAGGGATGCTCAAGATTATAAATTGCATTCTAGATCCTTAACACATTTATCCAGTAGCGGTATTTCCCCTGAAACTCCTTGTCACTTCATCATTTTACAACATACAAAGTCATGCTTTTCGTCACCAACAAAAATGATAGACAACCTATCACATCAAGATCTTATCAGGTATGTCCTCCTCTTTCATCCGGTACCACTATAGCTGTATAATTGCTCGTACGACCGCCTATCGGTCTTCTGTGGTACCTTATCGAACCCGATTTCTTGTCAGCTCAAAAGGCATCGCTTCGGAACTAAATTCACTCATATCGTAAATTGTTTTCTTTTCGCCTTGCTTACCACAATTCTGCTATAATTTTGTTAAATAACTGTTGGTTGACTATGTGGATATTTAATATCCACCTTTCGAGATGCATAAAGCAAATACTTGACTTGATTTGAGTATGTATGAAACGCAAATCTACGTCAAAGTCAAAGTTTTCTCATAGGAATTACGTACAAGCTCATTTATCTCTCCTGTCCCCATAGTATATTTACACAGTTAAATCATCTCTTGGTGAAAAAAATAATAAAGTGTCACATAAAGTTCAAGGTAGGAGATAACGCAGTCTTCAACGAATTTGCGCTTTGTTTTAGTTGTGTAGGAATATGAGATGTTTCCGGGTTTACATCGAGTTTCCACTTGAAAAATCCAATTGTGTGATGCACAAACCATGTGAGATGAAGGGATGCTCCATGAACTGCAAAAGATTGACGTTGGCATTTCAATCAAAATTAGATCAGCCTGATCCGTCATCGAGATATCATCGGAAGAATGAAGTTCAGTTGAACAGATTATCCGATGCCAAGGCTAGACAATAAGCCTCCATATAGGACAGAGACAGAGCCACCAAGCGAGCGAGCTCTCCCGAACATGCACGACACCGGTTGCCTGTTATCGAAAGGAAACCGGGAATTTCCATCCACACGTGTCCGTATGCTTGTGTATTGAATGCTCACGAACTGGCACTGAATTCCGTCCATTCCAGACGAGAGTTAAGGTAGGGGTGGAGCGGTGTATGTTCATCCATCGATTTTGTGTGCGCACACTTTTTGCGACCAATTGGTATTTGTTTGAGTCAAATATGATCCATAGAGTAGGAAACCAAATAATTCTCGGATTCACAAACGAATAAACAAGTCATAAAATAGTAAACAGATTTTTCCTCTATCCTACGATTCGTGGAAAAGTGAGGGAGGGGAGGGTGATTACTGATAAAAACAATCAATATGAAACGGGACGCTCACCTGGATCGTTAATCAGCCGATTTCACGGAGAATGCCTAAATTATTTATTTGACATTGACGTATTCAGCGGTAGATATGCTGCTGATGAGCTCTAATAAGAGCGAAACTCGAGTCTGGTGCTTCCGAGTGTATGGTTGACTGGATAAACTGAGGATTTTGCGTGAAGGTGAAGTTCGAAGGATAGTCAGTTCAAATCAAAAAAATATTCAGCGAGGTTAGACAGTATGACTTGATCGATTCACCCGTTTGTAGATCAGATATGGCGCAAATAGCACGTTGAAAAAGAAGTCTGACTGCATGGTGAATCAACCGTAACAGTGGCAATTAACAGCAAAAAAGTTCGACTGAAAACATTGCCCATCTGTTACCGAATGGACACTTATAGCACTGCACACCACCGATAAGTACGACCACTACTATCGTGACTAGCTACGAAACTTGCCAATTCGATTCGATCGGACAGATTGAAAAACCAATCAATACCTTGTAGTGTGCGATTTCCGGTTCTTCGTGTAACGAACGAAACGTGAGACAGCACTGTTGCAATTTCGACTTGGCGTCGTTCCATTCCTGTTTGAGAATAAATTCGACCAGACGGGGCCAAAAGCACACTTGACAGAACCGTTCGACCCACACTAGATCCTTGTCCACAAACAAAGCACCGACGAAGGCTATGGGGATTTTGGTGCGGGTGAGAAAGCAGAGCAGAGCGGGAGTGGCAAACGGTGCGTGTTTTATTTTAATGAAAACGGAGCTTCACTACACACAGAAACCTACATAAACACACCAAACTCGTGTAAATGGATAGTCTGTCAAATTAGGACTTGTCAGATTAGATCGATTTCGAGAACAAGGCTGCACATTCGTCTATTTCCAGAGGAAGAAGGAACGCGGCAAGCGATACAAATAGCAGGTTTTAGCACTGCAGAACCTCAGTATGGTGAGTCGTAGATGGAGTAGACCCCTTATGCATAGGGGTCAAGCGTCTAGCTACGGGCGGAAAATGAACTATATACAGAACCCTTTTAAGATGGATGTTATACGGAATCGAACAACAGACAGTTTGCCTACCACGAAAGATGGATGACAAGTCCAGGATTCGAAACTCTCACCTCTGAGTCCAGAGTAAACTAGCAACAGTGAGTAACACCGTCTGATCACCAACACCAGCAGTGTGGGGTAACGTGACCGGCTTGTTTATTGATTCCTAATAAAAAATATTAGCCACGTAACATCAGAATGAATAAGCTTGAACAGAAGACAGTAAATCTAAAGAAGGCCTTTTGAAGCAACGTACACACCTTCAAGCAGATCCGCTTTGTACTTCACATTTTGATTCTGCGCGGACAAAGTTGTGGCAGTCGAGCCGGCCTTGCTCGGACAGGCACGGTCGCTGTCCCCAGTGCTGGGTGATGATTTGACAACACTATTATCCTCGCGTCGTATCACATAGTGGTCCAGTCCGAGTTCCGAACAAACCGCGGCCTGAGTGTATTTGTTTACCAAAGAGTTCTTCAACAGCGACAGGTGGCCCTCGTGGTGACGCGGGAAATGTCGGAACAAATAGTCGGTCGACACGTATTTGAGCAACGAGTCGCCCAGAAACTCCAGGCGTTGATTATCACCGCTGGAAACGAGCATACGCACANAAACAGTTAAAAAGTGCGTCGCAAGGAGTAATTGAGGGACTGGGGATAACTTCTCACGACAACAACAACAACAACAACAACAAAGAAGGTGCTGGGTGCATACACAGACACAAGTAGTGAATCAAGCTAAAACCGTGAGAATATTGTTAGACATTACCACTACATAGGTGGAACTGAAATCTCGAATCCAGATAAATTCATAGGGTGTGACATTCTCAGTAAGAGAGAGAGAGAGAGTCACAGCTGATTTTTTAGTCATTATCATTCTAAATAACCTGTCAGAGACAGAGGTCATTTGGGGAAGTGAAAGCCGACAGTATATATCACATCATCCTGATGGACCTTAAAAGTCACATCTTATGGGTCTCGTCGGACGCAACAGTCAGTGAATTTAGCATTCGATCACTAAGGTCAAGAAATAAAACTATAAAATGCTGCTCCCAGACTGAGTTGGCCCAGTCCCCAGGCTCACCCTAACCGGGAAACTTGTAGAGGGAGTGGACAAGTTTTGCTATTTGGGCAGCAATATCTCACCTGGCGGACGCATCACACATCAAGTGTCAGCGCGCATACAAAAGGCTCGGTTGGCATTAGCCAACTTGAGACATCTGTGGCGCTATCGCGACATCCGGCTGTTTGTGAAGGGTCGAGTATATGCTGCAGCAGTTCGGCCAGTCCTGCTCTACGGTGCAGACTTGGCCACTACGGAAACAGGATAAGAATGCATTGTCGGTGTGCGAACACCCCACACTCTACGTCGCACTGCACGAGTCTGGTGGGGAAACCGGACGAGCCATGCTGAGGTTAGGCGTAGAGTTCTCGGTAATCGCGGTAGACCACTGGAGCAAGTAGTCGATCTTCATAGATTACGCTGGTTGGGACATGTGTTACGCGTGTCACTGGATACGTTGCCGAGACAGGTAGCGGTTGGAAAAAGGTCTAGGTTGGTCAAATGAAGACCTGGCATGAGGGTATGAATACCCTAACCAGGAGACTCGGT